AGGATGGCTTGGTTTGCACTGAGAAATTGTGCTTCATTCCCTCTAGCCTTACAGACTTTATTGGCTTTCTCACTGGGGTGAAGGGGTCTCAGGGGCTGTTCCTATGATGTTGTTCATCAAGCTGCCCCATTCTTATTTCACTTTCCTAATTAGGTATTCTTTGAGTTACTGTGCAAATGCATAACCACTACCCTGACGTTCACATGGAATTGTCTGAATTGGCAGAAATATTCCATAGGTTATAGTGCAGTTAGTTATATTTGGATATTTAACGCAGACCAGTGCAGTTTTGAAAGGTGACAACATCCCACCCATGCCATTGGTTTTTATGTTGTGTTTCTAAAAATAAAAGAAACAAAAACAAAACCCACCTCTAACCTGATGTTAACTTTTCTGGCTGTGGGCACTGGATACCTAATGCATTACAGTTGGAATTTACAACCTGCCTCTATTTGTTTCTTTTCCTCTTGATGTAATAAATTCCGTTACAAAAGCATCTCAGGGGAAGGGAATTTATTCTGACTCACAGGTCAGGCATATCCATATGGCAGGGAAGTTAAGGCAATAGGAGCTAGAAGCCTCTGGTCACATCAGAAGCAAAGTGATTAATGCTGAGTCCCCTGCATAAGATATGTTGCAAATGGAAGCTAAGATGAGCCAGTATACCTGATCAAAATCATCCCTTGCAAGCATGCCCAGAGGCTAAAGAAGCCCCCACAATTGTGCCTGGAAGCTGCTTCCTAGGCAATTCCAGATCCCATCACATTGACAGTATACACTAACCTCATAAAACCATGCAGATTTAACTTCAAGACCTGACATCTTGGGTTTCATTATTTTATCCAAAAGAAATGATAAGGTATCCTTTCCCACCTTGCCTAAGTAACCTTAGGTTTCAAATAACCCTTAACAGATACAACCAGTCACTCATACTTTATAGGGATAATTCAACATGACAAGACTGCTCTCTTCCATGCTTGGCACAATCAGAACACCCCCATGCCATCTGAAAGACTTCCTTATGGCTTAAAGGTGAAAGGTTTCCATAGGGAAGATCCAAGAACCCAGGGCCATCTTCACTTCACATGTTAATTGTTTCCCCCCTCCCTTTAAACTATCAATGTCATTTTTTGTTCATAGAATGTAAAACTGTTTCGTGCCATCAACAAAAGTCATCCCTCTTGCTCTCTCAGTTTACAAGAAAGTAAATTTAGTTCTCACAGTCATTAAGTTTAAGATTATTTTCAGTTTAGTTCTCACACTCGTTAAGTTTAAGATTATTTTCAGTATCTTGATATCCTTCTGTGAGTCAGCATCACTTAGTCATGTATTGAATACATTTTAAATATATATGGACATTGTTTTTAATTATGCTAAGATTTTAAAACAATTATGTGTGTGGGCCTTTTGCCTGCATGCCTGTCTGTACATGGACCACCTGTGAACAGTGCCCAGAGATGATGTGGCATGTCCCTCTGTATGCTGTGAATATGTTTTATTACTATTGGTTAATAAAGAAGCTGATTTGGCCAGTAGCCAAGTAAAATCGAGCCAGGCAGAGATACAGGGACTAAAAAGACGGAGTCAGGGAGATGCCAGCAACCTCCAGAGAAGCAAGATGTGAGCTAACACCACGGCCACGTGGCAATAAATAGATTACTAGAAATGGATTAATTTAAGTTGTAAAAGCTAGTTGGTAATAAACCTGAGCCATTGGCCAAACAGTTTGTAATTAATATTAAGCCTCAGAGTAGATATTTGGGAACTGGCAGGCAGGAGAGAAACCTCCAGTATGCAGAGAAGCAAGAAGAGGGTGTAAGATTCTCCGGAACTGGAGTCTGTTTGTGAGCTGTCATGCAAATGCTGGGAACCAAACTCAGGTCCTCTGGAAGAAAAGTCAGCACTCTTAACCAGTGAACCATCTCTCCAGCCTCAAGCTAAGTGTGTGTGTGTGTGTGTGTGTGTGTGTGTGTGTGTGTGTGTGTGTGTGTGTGTGTAGTTATACACACACACATAGATGCACGCGGGTTCCCATGAAAGCCAGAAAAGTTTGTCAGGTGTGCTGGGACTGGAATTATGAGTGGCTATGAGCCCAGTGTGGGTGCTAGGAACTGAACATAGGCTTTTCTGGAAGATCAGCAAGTATTCCCAACCACTGGACCATCTCTGTAGTCCCAGAATACGGTTTGGAAGTTGTTATTCTGTCAGACCTGATAAAAGTAGAACGTGAAATTGTTTGATGTTGTGACTGGGTCAGAGCAGTTTATTCCGCCTGAAATTTGATTTTAGAACTGCGTGTACACGTTTTCCCTTCAGGTATGATGGTATCAGTAATGTTTATCTCCCTAAGATAGTCTCTGCCTGTAAATCAGTCTTGTGAGTTGTGATGAAAGAAAGAGTGGCAGCCGGAACTGGGCACTGTGGCTTCGCTGTGTGACCTTTGCACCTGCTTGAGCTGACTGACTCCCTGGGTTTCAAAGGGCAGCCAGTTTACAGCATTCCTAAGAGAATGAAGAGCAGCCGGGCAAGTAATGTTTCAAATGTGCTGGGGCTTGTATTTTGCTTTTATCGTAAATTTTTAATTATTATTTTACACGTGACAATGCAGTATCCTTTTAGTCAACCCGATGAAGTGTCTGAACATGTAAAGTGAAGGAAGCACACTGCACCACCTCGCTGCTAACTGCTGGGCAGACTCAGAGGTTCTGTGAAAACAGGACAGAAGGCTTTGTCTCTAAACTCGCGCTCCTGTTCTGGTTAAAGAGATGGATGAGGAAGCCGAGGCTTGGTGTGGTAATACGGTTAAAGAAGAGAAATTTGTGATGGAGTCAGAGGAGGCCTCCCTGGCAAGGAAAACTAGAACTCGGCCTGGAAGTGGAGTGTATTCTTACTATGTTCTCGGTTATACGTTCATCTGCTTCTGTGTTGAAAATTAACTTCCATGATGGGTGTTGGTGGCGCACGCCTTTAATCCTGGCGCTTGGGAGGCAGAGGCAAATGGATCTCTGTGAGTTTGAGGCCAGCCTGCTCTACAGAGCTCTTTCCAGGACAGGTTCCAAAGCTACAGAGAAACCCTGTTTCAAAAAACCCAAGGGAAAAAGAAATTGACTTCCATATCAGAGAAAGCGATTATCTTAACATTGCCATCACACAGGTATATTATGCAATTGTTGTAAGGTATGGAAATTGCCACTGAAATCCTTAAGCTTTAATATCCTACAAGGAGTAAGATCTATAGTTCATCACCTCTGACAGTCTCATTTATTTAACTATACAAGCCAAAACAATGTTTATGCTTCTGGGCACTGTCCAACACCCTAAAGCCCTTTAACACGTTTGGCATGAGGAAGTCTTAGACATTTGTTCCAAAACACAGTCCTCACATGGTAGAGATCCTTCATCTTTAGTGCATCGTACTTGACAGTGAGCAGTAAGAAACAACTGGTTGGTGGGTTTTACAACACACATTGCACAGTCTCTCTGCAACCTGATATATAGAAACAAGCGCATTTGCTACGCATAATGTTTGGGACACCCTGGTGCTGGGTCTCTCGTTCTTAATTCTGATGTCCTTTTCCCCAACCCCATCCCTGTTTGTAACAGAAAATCGGGCAAGAGTTCCTGCTTGAGTTTGAAAGAGAGATGGATTTGCCAATGGTTTTTGTAGAGGTAACCTCTGTATTTTCAGATCTGCAGCCTCAGATCTGTTTAAGAAGCCACAACATCCTACCTTTTCAATCTCTCCAGACCATGTTTTTATCTTTGTGAGCCAGCTACTACCAAAGAAGCTGTATTTGTCTTTCTTCTTGATAGTTTTCAACCTTTATGGTCTGTGTTCTTTCCTGCCTCTGACCTTGTTTGGCCCCAATTTTCCAAAACACAAACGTAAAGCAGTATAAAAAATGTAGCCTGGCTATGTTTTAAACAAACCTAATTCAATAACGGGATGAACTGAGGGTTATAATGTTGTTAGAAACAATATGATTTGCCATCACCTTATCATATATTAAATTAGGTCTACCAGAGGTCCTGACGATAACATTTGCCTGACTTACGTCACGATTATGGCCCTGTAAAAAGGGTTTATGTATACAAGCTGTTGGATTTTCAAGGGATGATTCATACCCCCAAGAATCACAACTGTTGGGGGACCCAGGGCAGGAACTGAAGAGAGGTTCTGCGCTTGAGTGCTCCCCTCACCTTGAAGTCTATCCACAGTGGGTAATGTTTTAATAAGTGAGCATTTTATTAAACAGCGCATTACAATATGTAGTGCCTTGGTTTGTGAAGAGTTTTCCACTATATCTCGCATTTGATTTACAGAATAGCTGAGAAAGGTAAATATCCCTGCATTACGGAGAAAGCTAAAACACTAAGCGGTAACACGAAGTGGCACTTGCGCCACATGAAAAATTCATAAATGCAAGCCAGTGTCCATAATCTTTTTAAAGTCCTGCGTATGTGTGTCTGTATAATATAATCAAAAATCCCTGTGTGTATGTGTGTGTGTGTGTGTGTGTGTGTGTGTGTGTGTGTGTGCGTAGTATAGTCAAAGGTCCTTTAAGTTGATGTGCAAATTTTGTTTATCCTTCTGAGGACTCGTATTTGTTGATAAGGTCGAACATGTATTCACAGCATCACTGATGGCAAAAGGCAAAACGTAGATGTCACTGTCATCAGTGTCTGTCTGGAGAGCCGCTTCATTAGGTTTGCTTATGCAGTACAGTGTTGAGCATTATGACTGGCTGTCTACTTGATTGCAAAGAGGGCTTTTCACATAGGAATGTATCCAGGCGTAGGCTATATATCCACAACAAAGGATTGCTTCCCATCCCTTTCTCGGGCGCTTCTTCCAGTCAGAACTTGCTCCAAACAACATTGGGTTCTTAAGCCTAAAAATACAATGAATATATATTGATGTGTTTGACCTTTAAATACTTGCCCAAACATGGAATATATTTCTTTGTCTGAGTAGGTGTGACAGCTACCTTTTCTTTCAGGTTTTGTGATGAAGGAACCTGTACAGATAAAGCCAACATTCTGTATGCCTGGGCGAGAGATGCTCCCCCGACCCGGCTCCCCAAAGGTACATCTGAAATGTCTTGTGTCGTCTTACTAGTGTTCATCAGTGTATTAATGGTCCTTTCTAAAAGGATCGTATGCCTGTGAGCCATATTGCGGTCTCATTCAAAGTGCCAGCCTCACCTAGTTTGTACTGAAAGGTAGCTGGTCACTTTTTCTCACATCTTTGGTAAGTAGTTTGCTCTCAAAACAGCTTGGATTGAATTAGAAAATAATCAAGTGTACCTCAGGTCACCTTTGGCCTAAGGCACATTGGCTCTTGACAGCAGGAACATTTCCTGAGCCAAGAGAGCCCTGGAAATTAAATAAATTGCTGTTTCAGCAGCAATAATATTTTTTAAGTCCTGGAACTTAGGTATTTAATGTAATGTCAAACTTAGCTGGCTTCCTGACTTTACCTGTAAATTGTTGATAGAAGCATCTCTGGTGTCTGAGTGAATAGTGAGATGCTCTGTTATTGCAAAAAAATGCTTCAGAATATTAAAAAGAGTGCACGGTTTGTCTATGGGATACATGCGCTGTGGTGAGAAGCCTAACTCATGCCGTCACCATCAATTGCATTGCTTCAAATCAGCGAGAAATCTCTCTGCCCATTACCTTGTGCCCACCAACAGGCTTAAACATCCTGGAAGGTCTGTCACAGATGTGATGACATTTTGAGAGCACATGCATTTTCTCAGCCTGTGAATAGTAGGTATATTTTAAACAAGTCGCTAACAACCTCCACATAAACAGTAAGGGCATTCACCGATGCCTGGATTGTGTGACCTAGCTAGTAAGCGCATTCACCGATGCCTGGATTTTGTGACCTAGCTAGTAAGCGCATTCACCGATGCCTGGATTGTGTGACCTAGCTAGCAGCTGGTCTCCTCTGTGTCACTTTTGAAGACCCTGTCTTCTTGGGAGGGCAAGAGGCCACTCTGAGATACTTCTGAGATTCTCTTTCCTACAACCACTTTGAAAATGTAAATCATCATGTTTATTAAACAGAAATAGAATCTTTTTATATGTTTGTTAAACAGCCAACAGGGACAGAATTTTGTCCCACTGTTTCTTTCCCAGTGAGTGGTCTGTTTGGTTAAAGGACCAGGGACCCCTCTGGTTCTAAATTGGGAACTATGAATATAGATTCTCTTAGAGTTTTGGTTAAACATTCTCTGGCCAATGCAGTTTCTTTCATCTTCTGTGTGCTGATTTTATATGGTGGAAGTCATTTTGTGCCCCGAGGGTTTCAGGACCAGCAGCACAAAATGACTCCTGACTGTAACGCATGTAAGCCCCAGCTTCCGTCATGACAGTTTGCTTGTTTTATGATGATTTAGGTGTTGGATTCAGAGTTGGAGGAGAAACTGGAAGTAAATACTTTGTCCTTCAAGTTCACTATGGGGATATTAGTGCTTTTCGAGGTAAGTTTTGAAGTGTTGGAACTGAGCAAAATGTTCAATACTTTATTACTTAAACGAAGTGGGCCATTATCCATGCCGTAAAATGAAGGATTGCCCATATACTCTGCCAAGCAGGGATAATTGCCGTAAGTTGCTTTAATTTGCAACTGCTGAAGGAATGGCTTTGTTTCTAAAGGTTATTTCCACAATGCAAGCTTCCACCCTACTATGCTTTCATTTTTGCTGGCGTCCAATGCATTTGTCTAACCTGCTTGCTCCTATGCCTATCAGAAGTGTCACTCAGAGAAGTCAATACCATTAGAAAGCACAGAAAGAACCTACTCACTTATTTGCTTTACGGTGAGCAAGCCACAGGGAGAGTGAACGGATTCTGCACACCATCTGGCAACTGATGAATTTCAAGCGTAATTCACATGGCTGCTGCATGCACTCCTCCATGTCCTCTGTACTGAGGCACTGGTCTCAGTCACTGGTTAGTATACGAAATCATCCGACACAAGTATCTCTACCTGTGATCACTGGGCATTTCATTAAAACGCCCCTTCTCCTGTTATAGAACCATCAACATGACTAATGGGCTCTGTTCCCAAGGCAACCAAAAGTGGTACTTGTTATTTGTTCTGGGGCTTGTAGAGAACCCCAACTATGTTTTGAATTTGTGCTCGTGGTTTCATGAGATTGTAAATAGTAACTGAGTTCTCATTGGCTTATGACTGTTTTCCTGTTCTGGGATGACATGTTTCCTGCAGAATTCCATAATGTGATATGTAGAATAACTGACCAGACAAATTTTCTTCCTCAAACACATTTGATTTCCATCCAGTAACAACTTCTAGAAGCAGGTGTCTGTCTGTACCTATGAAATACACTCTAGAGCAGTGGTTCTCAACCTTCCTAATGCTGCAACCCTTTAATACAGTTCTTCATGTTGCGATGACCCCCAATCATAAAGTTATTTTTCATTGCTACTTTATAACTGTAGTTTGCTACTGTTATGAATTGTAATGTAAATATCTGATATGTGACATCTGTGAAAGGGCCATTTGACCCGAAGACTGAGAACCACGGCATCAGAGCTTTTACTAAGAGATCCCCCCATGTTGTGGAGAGACTCCCTAGGTTCTCAGCCCTCAGAAATGGAGCACCATGTTGTCTTCCTCTAGAAAATTATATTGAAAGTAGTAATTTTATATAACTGAACACTTCTAAGTAGACATGTGATCAGTTAAATGAGAACCGTAGACCAATATACAATCCTAACTTACAAATAAAATTTGTGATATATATATATATATCATATATATATAAACAAAAACTCCAGTCATGACAAAATAGCTTTCCATCTCTGCCCCATAACCTGCTCATAAATTGCCAGCAGTTGAGATTGCTGAGACAAGGTTTTGCTGCAAGCAAAGGAATAAAACAATGTTTGTGCTTGAGGAACAAAGCCAGAAACAGTTTGCTCTGGAATGCTGCAACTGGCCTCGGTCTAACAGGCAGCTTCTGGTGCTGCCTATGGAACGCTGATGGAACTCATGTTTTGGAAATGGCAAGCAGGCTGTCCCTGAGGCCCACAGCCAGACCAGCTCAACCCACCCACACGCAAGCAAACCAGATTCTCTGTCCCTCTGTGAGACACTGAACTTTGCTGTCAACATAATTCCTCAGAGTTTTTCTCGAACTCCAGACAGAGGCTGGCTGCATTCCTCAGAGAAAATGGATGATAGGCACTGATGTTTGAAAAGCATGACACTTTAATAATTTAATCTCTTACTGATGACTCATTTTAGAATTAGTGTTAATATTAAGGTAATAATGTCCTGGTATTTTAATATATAAGCAAACAACTTTTCTTACTGTAAAAGGCAGATGGGAAATTTCATGTAGTGGCTTCTCTCCTTTCTAGACTAGTTTTTCCAAGAGAAGCTATATAAAAGGTTTAAAGACAGCCAGCATTAATATTCAGAGAGCTTATTGTAACATAAAATAGTGTATCACTTACTCTAATAGAAAAGTGTAAAAAATAATTCCCATAATTCATTCAGTGCCAGTAGATACGATCTTGTCACATGGTATAGAACATTAAGGGAGCAAACAGGAGAGCATCAAATCTCATTGAAATAAGGAAAAGGACGTTTTCCATTTATTGAATTGGGGATGGATAGGAATTGAATTATACAGCTCAAGACTACCAGACTTGGGTAAGCCTAATACAGTTTGGGAAGCTTTATAAATTAATGTATTATTTTGGAAAACGATTTTTCCATTTCATAAAATTTGTCACTTAATATATTAAAAGTTTTCTAAATGATTTGTTTTTAAAATGAGCTACATAGTCACAGTTGTGTGCAATTAAAGCTATTAACATGAAAAAATAGACAATTAGCAAAACAAAAGTAAATAATAACATTTGAACAGGGTATAAGTACTAATGTGTGCTTGTGTGCATAGGTGGACCATGAAGAAGAAAGATAAGAGGGAAGAGCTGATGAGCAAGAAGGGGCTGTGTCAGCACTTTCTTTTAAAATGACATACGTGTCTTTACAATACAGTTTTCATCCCATAGTATTTCTTATTGTTTAGTTATTTTTTTAAAAAATGATCTTTTCTCATTTTACATTCCAATCCCTGTTTTTACTCCCTTCCCTCCTCTTGCTCCCTCCACCTTCCCCCTCAGCCCCATCCACTCCTCATCCTTTTCCTCCTTAAGTACCTGCCAGTGAGGGCACTGCACTCCACTCTCACCAAGTGAGAGCAGGTCCCCGTGCGTGAGTGTGTGCGTGTGGATAGGCTCAGGCCCGCCCGAGTCCCCAGCAGAGTTACTTTTGTTGAAACAGGTTCTGTGTAAAATGCTACATTTCTCTTCATAAACAATTAGAAGAGGAGAAAACAGCATCTTCTACTTATGAAAGCGCATCCACTATGTGTGGTGTATGTATAGCTGTGCCCAGAAATGCACGAACTTATGAAAAGCCGCTACTCTGATAGCAACGTCAGTGAAGATTGGTACTTTACGACTTAAGAACCAGGGATGATATTTTCTGTATGTTGTAAATCAGAAAGAGTATAACACTCCCAGGAAATTTCGGTTTCCTCCTGAAAAGTGGGAAGATATTTGGCTTAAGCGAGCCAGCATTTTTTCCCCATTTACAGAAGGGACTTTTTAAGAAACACACCTCCCACAATGATGGTAAAGAACCTCCTTAAACTTGTGGGGCCATGATTGACAGTCAGGAAGCATAACCTACAGTCAGAAAGTCTTAGACTGGAATCTCTCACAGTAGGAAAAAGATATGAGTTCTGTGAGATCGTATGAAACGCTTGTTTTGTAACTGTACCAAATATTAAGCTGTAAAAGCTTCATCAAAAGTCACTTCGCTTTTTGAAACGCCATGCTAGTCCCTGGCAGGCATGGGCTGTTGCAGGGCGCTGCTTTCTTGCCAGCCAGAGTTTACTCTCTCAGTAGTGCAAACACAGAAGGAGTGTGTACACGGGAAAGTCATAGATGAGCATGCTTTTAATGGAGGCTCTAGAGGGACAGAAGCATCCACGTCAACCCAGGGAGGCGAGGTGCGGTCTGGGGGAGGAGGCTTCTTAGAACCTGAACAAGGCTCTGTAAGCTAAACTAGAGCTCGCATGTCCTAGAGCCAGGAGGGACATTCCAGACAAAGGTTAAAAATCCTCCAGAGATTTGAGAGCAAAATAGCCCCATGCCTGGCAAACTCTTAGTGATTAATTTGACGTTGCTAGAGAAGGGAGATGTGGCAAGCAATTAGAAAAAGGATGTGTTAGAGAGTAATGGCCCTGGTAAGACTTGGGTCTGAGAGCACTCCCTCCAGAGGTGTTGGAATCATAGTCACAGTTTGTCATGCCGGCCAGTTCCACACTTGAGCATGCAGAAAAGCCACTAACACTGTAAACTGGTAGCCAGGATGGGGGATGGGAAAGTCAGAATGATTTATTAAGTGTACACTGGTTAATTATTTACAAATTATATTTCAAGGGAAATTACAAATAGTCTAATTGAAAATGATAGCCTTATATAGGTAATAGCATATCTCAGAGTTTAATGACTCTAAATCTAGACAGCCTAATCATGGCACATCCTTGTTCGGTTGACTTTGCCCAGTATGTAGGCAGCACTTTGCCTTCTTAAGCTATGAAATGGGACCAGATGGCTCACCTGGAGTTCTCTGATGAGTATTCATTCACTGAATGTTAGCTGCATTCACTGTGGTCTACATAAACAAGTAAATACTCCAAAGTGAATCCTTTGTCATAGCTAACTCTACTACAAAAGGGATATTTGCTATTTTTCAAGGGTCTTAGAGTTTAGACACAGAACATATATGTTCATATCCGCCATTGTTGTAAGAAGTATTCTAGTGACCAGTTTTTATTGTTTACAGTTCAACTGTGCAAAAAGCAAAGATCAACCCCTTGTCATTAAGGAAATGAAAATAGTAGCATGGGGATTCCATCTGTCCTTCTTCTCTAAGTGATGGCTAATAGTGTCAACTTGAGAGGATAGAATCATCGAAGAGACATGCCCTTGGACTGAGCCGTCAAACAGTTTCTGCATTGTGTTAATTGAGGTGGGGACCCCCACATTAACTTTGTTCACCACTCCATTCTGTGGGTTTGGGTCTTAGACTGAATGGAAAAGAGAAAGCTACGCCAGGGCATTCAGCATGCTCCCATTCCTGACAGGAGATTGTGAGCAGCTGCCTCACTGTCCTGCTCTAGGACCCACCCCTCCTAGGGACTGTACCCTTGAACTGTGGGCCCCAATAATCCCTTCTTTTATTTTCCTGTTGGTCATGGCAGCAGGATAGGTCACTAATGCATTCCACAAAACATAAGCTTTTGTCCTTATTTTTTTCCAATCAAGTCTTGTTCTAAAAAAAGAGTTCTCCTGAGATTTTTCTCAGAGTTGGGCATTATTTTCTGCAGGTTTTTGGTCTAGGGGAATTTTATAAAAACAATGACTTTTTATTTCT